GTCCGTGCCCTGGGATCCCAGGATATCAAGGTATGGGAAGAGTCCAGCTGCCGCGGCTGAGGCTTCACTGCAGTGTGGGAGGGCTTTAGCTCTGGTGCCAGCTTTGAGCATCCTGGGAGTGAGAGATCTGCACTGCTGGGAGGCCTCTGCTAGCTGGGTTACCTGGGATGTTCCTCAGGGAGCACTGTTTTGTTTCCAAAATCATACACTGAGATCAATACCATATAGTCAAGTCCTGAAGCCATTCTTGTGTTTTTGAGAACAATTTATTTGATTGCAAGTGGGCAGAGGAAGGATGAAAACAGAAAGTTGCTGTTGAAGAGATATCATTGTGGAAAGCAGTTTTCTTTTCTTCCTGGTCTTTTTTCTCATCTCCTGGGCAGCAGATGAGTTGTATTTACTGCAGGAATCTTCAGTGAGGACAGAAAATACTCTGCAGCCACAAACTGCCCAGCATGTGCTGGGCCACACTCTGCCCTCAGCTTCCTGCTATAAGGCTGGACTTGTTCCATTCAAGACAACAGACTTCTTCTGCATTTATGTCATTGTAGCCAGGTGAAAAATTAGTCCCTTTAGCAAATCTCATATTGCCAGAGGGATTTTTTTACTCTCAAAGACTGTTGCTCTACTTATGGACCAGGAGAAGAATTAAAGGACAATTCTCCCTTTGTCTACCATGGAACAAGAGCTGGAGGACAGCACACATGGGTAATGAGAATTTTGGGAGTTAGCAAATACTTGCTGCACTTCTTTTCTTTTCTGCCAGGTCACCCTGTGTCCCAACACTGTTGGGGACTACAATCTGGAGCTGGTGCTGGACGTGGAAGACGTTGGCAGGAGGGTGTTTGCACTGCCCCTCACAGCCAGGTACCAGCACCTTTCCTGCACCTGCTTGTCTTTGCTTGTGCATCCAGCACCAGCACACTGCCTGGCTGCAGCTCCAAAGGAGAAGTGCTGCTTCATGAGCTGGATCTGCCCATCTAGACATGAGAACAGTGCCAGGAAAGCAGCCCTTAGTGAGATACCCCCCTGCTCACAGCCAGCCATGGCCCTAGGCCTTTTTCTAAAGGGAGAAGGAATAACATTAATTGTTGGCCTGGGCTTTGGTGCTTGAGCTGGAACAAATTTCCAAAGGCTTGCCTGCCCTTCTTCCTGTAAGTGGTGAACTTATGCTGGCTTGTGACCATCCTGCAGCAGTGGTTTGGAACACAGTGAGCAGCCTGCTGAGAGCTGGGGTCTGGGTCCCTTCAGCAGTGCATGTGCAGTGGGGAAGAGGCTCCAGGCAGGAGTGGGGAGAGCAAAAGGTCTTACAAAGAGGACTGTAGTCCTTGATGTGGCAGGCCAGCTCAGCTTTCACTGCTTCCCTCTGGCTCTTTTGAGTCATTTTCTCAGAGCTGAGACCAAAAGTTGTTCTTGCTGCAGCAGAATTCCATCCTGCTGTGCTGCTGTGGATGTCAGTTTAGTGCCAAGAGGGATGCAGTTCCTTGGTGCTGTTCCCTCTCCCAGGCAGAGCCATCCAGTCAGTGCCTGGGCTGCCATTTTGTAAAGCAAGCACAAATGGGGACAGTCAGTGTAGAGATCCATGGGGGAAGGAATTGAGGCAGCTCTAGGAACTGGAAGAAGTTGATCACCTGCACTGTGGGCCTTGTGCCCTCCACTGCTGGAAGAGATGATTCAGTTTTTAGGCAGGACAACAGTGCTGGAGGAGAAAAGGGAGTCATTTTCACTGATACATGGGAGTCTTGTGTTCCTTGAGCCTTGGTGGACACTGGTCCTCACTGGAAAGGCTCCCCCAGAGCTCAGGGACCACTGGCACTGTTACAGGAGTCCTTGCAAGTGTCCTTGGGCAGAGAAGGGGCAACACTGCTAAGACAGCTCTGGACTACTGTAGGACTGCTCTACTACTCTACTCTGTTAGATTTGCAAATACCTTACACTCCATTGCATGCTCTTGGAGGACAAAAGTTCTCCATGCTCCCAGTGTCTCTCATTCCCCTGGGGTCATTTCTTTGCCCAGGTGCATCGTTCCTACACTGCGAGTGCTCAACCCTGTCGTGGAACTGGGGCACTGCTGCTTGAAGGTGCTCTATGATGAGAAGGTGACCCTGGTGAATGACAGTGACTTCCCTGGCTGCTACTGTCTTCTCCCTCAGGTTTGGCCTTGCATCCATCTCCTCCCCTCAAATGTTACTGGGGGGTTATTAGGGGAATAAAAGGGTTTGGGTAAGACCTTGCTGGTTTCTATTCAAAGCTAAAGGTTTTCTGAGAACAGGAACCTAAATACAAACTTTAGGAAGCAGTTTAACATCTTGAGGAAGATGTTTAGAGTGTAGTCCTTGACTTGTTTTCACGTGGCAGGGCTTTGAGGGCCATGAAAATCCGATGCAAGGAAGCTGTCAGCACCCAAGTGGGTTTCTCTGCTGCAGCAGCTTTTGGACCCCTGGGGATGCTGAGCACCTACACCTTGCATCTTGGTTTTTGCTTTCTTGCTTTCTCCTGAGAATTTTTACAAGCGTGTGGGAGTTGCTCTTGTGGTAGAGGTTAAGGAGTTTAAAGTTTCCTCAGTTCTGAAGATGCCTTTGATTCTGTCCCTGCCAGGAACACCAGGAGGAGGCTGCTGCGTGGTACTCCAGCCTTGCACCCTCTGGGATTATCGAGGCTCACAGCTCGGTGCAGATCCCAATTACACTCCAGGCCCAGTTGCTGGGACAGTGCAGCATCACTGCCAAGCTGGCCGTGTTTGGGAGACCAG